CCCCCCTCCTTCCCCTGGGAAAGATTGAAATATGAATCAATACAATATGCACAATTGCACAGCTCAAGGTCTCTGTCCCTGTTAGTGTCATGGAATTGTAATGAGAAATTTCTTGTTGATCACCCTTGCACATGATGTACATTTGAGGAGCTAACCTCTTCTGTAAAGGCACTGTCGAGGGATGAAATACTGCTGCTTTTCTTGAGTTCTGCAAATTCTGAAAGAAATAAAAACATAGATCTGTTAACTAAAGGTACTGTTGTTTAAGAAGGTTAAACATCTAATGTTCAACTAAAGATAAATAAAGAAGTACCCACTAACAGAGGTACAGATCTGGGATGTGGCAGACTAGTTGAAATGATAATTACGAAGTAATGCATTTATAAACAATCAGTTTCACAAATACAAGGTCCATCCACAATGAAGGCAGTGTTCCAGATAAGCAAGGGTCTCAGGTCAGAAACCCGACAAGACAGCTACATGACCCGACAAAAAAATATTATAGGGTGGTCGGTGGGAGCAGTGAGAGAATTGACCCAGTGGAATTCCTAATTGACATCCCACTTTGAAAACCTACATGTGACTGGAACCCTGAAAGGTCCCAGTAGTGCTCAGGAAAACATTTGCTGTATATATTTCCTTCTCCTCAGCCAGTGCAAAACTACCCATTAACACCCTCAGTGATGTGTAGCTAAGCTTACAGTTCATGTACAAAAGACATAAAATATTTATAGATTAAAAAGTAACCCAAGAGCATCAAGTACCTCCACCTTCGTTGATATTTAATAGTGAACTTGACAATTGCTTTGATCCCAACAGACCAGCTGTGCTCAGGGATTCCATTGAACTTGTACTGTCAATCAAACTAATTGTGTCAGGAGAAGGCTTTTTAATTTTCTTTGGCAATGTCAATGATGCACGGTTTAGGTCCACTCCTGATCTGTTGAATCTGGCACCAAGATGCTTCTGCTTCTCTGTTGCTGTAAAAAAATTATAACATTATGATTGTTTTCGGTGATAAAAACGGTTCAAAAAAGTACTGTCTGGTCGTCCGGGACAAGTAGATCCTCCTCCTGGACAAGTAACTTGCTGATGGGCAAGAGATTAGGCAAGCCATCTGCCAACTGAATCATTAAAAGAGTAACCTAAGACTTGCCCAGGGCAAAAAAAATTTGAGAGCTACTTGTCCCAAGGGCAAGCTCGAATAATATTACAGTTTTTTTCGAGCCCTGTAAAAGAAGTCTCTTATATAGTTGTGCCTTGAGAACCTCTTACACTTCTTTCATGCTCTCCAAACTTCCTGAATGCTTCATAACTTGACGATGCACACTAGAGCAGCCCAGAACATGGCAGAGTTTCTCTTAACCACAAAAATCCCGAATATAAATGAACCGTAACCTAATAGTTTATTTAAAAGTAATAATAAAAAAATAACAGAGTAAATTTAACTGTCCATTCATGCCAGAGGGTGACCCCCAATTTCTTGTTTCTCTAGGTTTTTTGTCTGCCTTTGAGATGCAGTAGCAAAATTAAGCTTTCAACCCATGAAGCCGCACTCAAAGATAGATCATGTACATGTAGATGACAAACTTTATCGACATGAGAAAAGGTAAAAGAGTTTTTTATTAATTATTTTAGTGTACTTATCACATAATTAATATCACTTA